AATGTTATTTGGTAAAATATTTATTGAAGTTATGTTAACGTGTCTCTAATCTTGTTAGTGTTTTTTTTTTTTTCAATCTTAGTTATATAATAAAATGAATCACATTTTATATAAAATGTGATTTGAATTTAAAATTTTTTATTTTATAAAAAAATTGTCACTAAATTATTTAAATAGAATCTTGTGTTACAGTCCGCCCTATAACGGATTGTAATATCATGATTCTTGATACGGGAAGGGGAGGGCCTAATATCAAGGGACCCTCCCCTTTTGAACGGTGATGATGGTTACAGTTCGTTACAGGACGGACTATAACATAGTTTTTTGTTATTTAAATCATTACCTTATCATCTTAGTATTTTTTTTTTTTTGGGTATTAATTTGCACCTTAGATTGTATTAGTACTTTTTCCTTTTAGTCATGTGAATTGAAATTTTAGTTACAATTTTTTCTTTTTTTTTAACATGTTAACATGGGGCAGAATCGAATCAGATCCAATAGGGAGGGGGAAGTGCATATTTTTTTTTAATGTGACTAATGTTATTAGGCTTGAAAGATCAAGTGCGAAATTTTAATTACAATTTTAAAAGTAGACTAAAATTTTTTTTTTAATACTTGGCTGAGGGAATGAAAGAATCATCATGACGTTCTGTAGAAATTGGATCTCAGTAGTAGGAGTATTAAACAACAATTTAGTATTGTTATAGTTTTTGGTTGTAAACTCTATCCCAAGAATAGCTATTGCATGCAATATTACCAGACCATTGTTAAGAAATGAAATATTCATCTTACCGCAACTTTTTTCACTAAAATTTTGGCGTAGACCGATAAAGTTTATAGTGTGTAATCCTCAAAGATGTAACATATACATCAAAATTTGTAACTTTACAGAGGTGAACTTATTACATTTAGTGGTCAGATACAATCCAATAAAGAATTCCTTGAAATTGGGAAAAAGATTTATACAATATATATATATATATATATATATGAGCTAATCTTACGAGCAAAAATACTTTCTTTTTTATTGGAACATCAGTGGCTTTGGAGCATTTACGGCAGTAAGGGGCACGTACCAACACGTCAGAACCTTGTGATTGAAGCATTGAGCTGAAAAACTGCTGTTCTGCCAGTTTATTTTCATCTCAAAATTTGCTTTCTAGATTTTACAGTTTGATTCTTTTAATCTTGGGCTCCAGCTAAATGGGATCATTGCAACCTGCTTATGTGAGACGATAAAACATTTTCCACTGAATTGACTTGAGTCCTTCCATCTCTGGCATATGGCTTCACAGCTTAACTTGGAAAGGCATCTGGGAAATGACTTGATAGTTCTCAGCTGTGGAAAGACACTCCAGAAATTAACCGTTCTCAGCAATTAACCCTCACCTTAGACCATCTGCAACAGTTTAATGCATCCACTTGAATTGGCAGCAACAATCATGTCTGATTTCCCTCTCCAGCAGACACTTGAAACAAACAACCCGTTGTCATCTTCTGTCTCTCTCCCAGAAATAGGATCAATGGAACCAAACTTGTGGGAAGTGATTGGCATAGGTAGTGATCTATAGTAAGAATAAACCTAAGAAACAACAGCACCTCAAAAAGTCAAGACATTGATATAAAGAAAAGTAGACAACACATATAGGTTACCAACTGAACTAAAAATTGTGCAAGACCCAGATTTGTACCTCATTTGTTTCTGAACCACAAGCGATATAACCATCAGCAACAGATAGACCCACAAAGTTCTGAAGCAGCAGGCACAAAGTCAAAACAAATAAAAAAGAGACAAAAGCTGGCCAGTTTTAAGATAAATAACAATGAGAAAATATTGAGGCCTAATCATGCAAATGCCAACCTTCTCATTAGTATGCCCACGAAAGGTTAAGCCACAAGCATTGTATGGACCACCACTATTGGTTTTATTGAGGTCCCATAGCTTCAATGTATTGTCAGTGGAAGCAGTAACTATAGTTTCAGAGTCTAGGAATTTCACATAGCTCACAGCTTTTGTATGGCCAGTCAGTACACACCAGGGAGCTCTGGTATTCCGAAGATCATAGCAATATGTTTTATAATCTGCAGATCCAAAGGCCAGCATATGAGTGGAGTGAGCAGAGAACTGAACACAGCAGACATTTGCAACATTCCTGATTGTCCCCAAGCAACCTTTCTGCACAAAGAGGAAGGAAGGGGAAGTATTTCATAAGCTCTTAGGAAAACTAAATTAAAGCCTTCAAGATATCTTCAATTTTAATTCCTCACGAGGTGCTTTCCTGGTTAGAGATACAAATAGTCAAATACAAACAAGAACATACCTCATTAATGCTCCAGAGTTTCACAGAACAATCATCACTCCCACTGGCTAATTTTGTTGGGTAAACTCGAGAAAAGTCAACAGACCAAGCCCTCTTTTCATGTTCAATGTATTGATTGACTGCTTGACCAGTGCTTACGTCCCATAACTGCATCTCATTCAAGCAGACAGTTTAATGAGCATATCGGGAGATTAAATAAAAGGAAAGTACTCAACAGTGAAAAAATTATGAAAAAGAAAAGAAATTATTTTATCATGGAAAGAGATTCATATAAAAAATTACATTATACCTTTAAGTTCCTGTCCAATGCATCATAAGTACATCACAGAGTCAATAGGAATGAAGAAAAAAATACAATTAATCTCTCCAATAATCATGTAAATGGAGAAAGCTTTGAGATAGGAAGTATGGAGCCACTAGCTCATTACAAGTACAGCATGGACTTGATTAGTTAGGGATATAAAAACTTGCACTTAAGTCTTAGATCATTAATGTGGTTATAAATTGTTATTCTTTATAAAGCCAATGACTCAAAATCTGCTCCAAGGCTTTAATAAGTTAACTTCCCCATCCTCTTAAGAAAAAAAGAATGTAAAACAAGAACAATAGTTAATCAGTATTTAGAGACAACAGCCACTCCCATATTAACAAATGAAGTTGAATTAATTTCATCTCTGCAGTGCTAGAGTTTCAGTTTTTAGGCAAAAACCAACATTTAGCCCCTCACCTTACAAAGTTGGTAGGTTTTAGCCACTCACCTTATAACATGACAGTTTTAGCCCTTTATCTTACAAAGTTGGTAAGTTTTAGCCCCTCACCTTACAAAGTTGGTAGGTTTTAACCCTTTACCTTATATTATGATATTTTTAGCCCATGGTAAGTTTTAGCCCCTCACCTTACAAAGTTGGTAGGTTTTAACCCTTTACCTTATATTATGATATTTTTAGCCCATCACCGATACAAATTAAAGAAAATAACCCTTACCTAACATAAGTTATAACATTCTATTAATTCTATTAGTTGACTGTTAACATCTGTTAGCATTCCGTTATAAAAAATATGAAATTTAAATTCAATTTTATTTGTTAGTTTCATTAACGGAATGCTAACGGATGCTAACAGTCAATTAACAGAACTAACAGTTAGCTAATAAAATTGACACTCAGCTAACAGAACTGACAATCAGCTAATAGAACTAATACCTGATTTTAAATAAGGGCTATTTTCTTCGATTCGTACAGATAAGGAGGGGTTAAAACCTACCAACTTTGTAAGGTGAGGGGTTAAAACCTACCAACTTTGTAAGGTAAAGGGTTAAAAGTATCATATTATAAGGTTAGGGCCTAAAACCTACCAATTTTGTAAGGTGAGAGGCTGAATGTTGGTTTTAGTCTCAGTTTTTATCCGTCTAAATGCAATCCTAAAGTTGACAGTAGCCTATACGTCATGCTTTAAATTTGTGGTTAGTTTCAGAGTTGATGGAGAAAACAGAACATGAAGATCCAACTGTGTACAAAATTCAACCTAGTTAAGCTAAAGATGCTAAAAATATGTACTGATACAGTTTTAGCAGTGATAAGAAGACATGGACCATGGAATATAGCATAGCATCGAATTAAAAAGGAGCAGTCCAGTTCAATTAAAATCAAATGCAAGAAAATGAATCATCCCAAAGATATAAATTTGCCCCAAGTGTGGCCTCATTGGTAAACAAACAAATAATTTTCCAATCAAATCTCCCAGATGTGCAAGTTATACAGACCTTAACCATGCCATCATAGTCTGTTGAAGCGAGGTAGCTCTTGATATAGCTGTTCCAACAAATACAGCTGAGTTTTGATCTGTTTGACATTTCGATGACTGGATAATGAATATCAACAGTGTCGTTGAAGAATGAATTAAACTCGAATATCTTTATTTTCTTTGATACCCCCGCAGCAGCAAAATAATCCTCATCCCGGTCAAAACCCAGAGAACAGATTACATTTGCAGAATTATTGAACTCCCCGCTTCTCAGTAACCCACGCACTTCAAACCTACCATAACGAGCATACTTGCACAAACCATCAAAGAAGTCTCCAAGACAATCAGTAGGTTTATGTATTTCTTCATCGTTCTGTGCCAAAGACCAGTTATTGTGGTTTCTTAGTACATCCTTATCTTGTCTTGTTGTAGAATCAGTCTCATGAAGCTGGATTTTGGATCTCATGGAAAAATAAGCAGTTTTGAGCTGGCTAATATTTCTCATTAACCCGATTTCGTTTGTCTTGGAGCTGGGGGATGAAGTACCATGCAACTCAGAAACTAATAGTTCTTTACCAAGGTGCCTGATTTCCCTTGTATTGACCAAAGGATGAACCAGAGGGTTTTCACAATGGTGCCTTCTCTCAATCTCTTTGATATCTGCTTCCAAGCACTCAATATCTTCCACTAACTTGGATGCATGCTTCTGCATGTGATCTTTCAATGAAACAAGGAAATGAAATAATAGTTCTGAATCAGCATCTTCTTGGTCAAAGGATGATGATAGGTCTTTGGCAAGCACCTCCTGGAACCCACTAATTACTTCAGACTTTAGTACATCCCTGTTACAGACAAAAAATATGTAACTATGAATGTTTACAACAAAAAGTGTAAGTAGGTATAAGGGTCTAAATTTTTACCTACATTGTCAAATTTTTACCTACATTGTCAAAATTTTCAAATTTCCAGAACTTAAAGATTAGTATAGTGTCTCTGAGTTGTGAGTGAGAAAAATAACCAGAATACCTCAAACTTGAAAACTAAAATCATGGGAAAATGAGAAATAAATCTTGTAAATAACTTTCACTTTTTTTGGCCCAAACAAAGAACAATTTTTACTTTTTAATAGAATGTTTTACGTATACATATAACTCAGAAGTTATTTAGAATAATAGATTGGAACACAAAAATTGATCTAACTCCTAAGTCATCAATATTACCTGGTTGTTGGGCGCAATGAAGGTTCAGGATGAAGTAGCTGTAGACAAAATCCAGCTTCCTTGAGATTTTCTGACAGAAAATTTGGAGGAAAAATTCTATGACATAGATCTGACATTGCTGCAGCATGTTCTCTCTCAGAGTCAAAACGGGAAAGTAACTGAGTGGAAAAACCAAATAAATTTATTAGAGTAAATACTGTTAATTCATCACTAAAACAATACCAAAAAGTATATATGAAAATTACTGAATGATATAACTGATAGGCCACGCTGGATTTTCAGTGGGAGAGTGGAAAACTTGAGGGGAGGGAAGGAAAGAAAGAGAAGAGAAATTTCACACCTCAAAAAGAAGTACACCCAGACTATAAACATTTGAAGAAATTGTGCAAACTTCATCATTGAGCTCCTCTGGACTTGCATACCATTTATCTTCCAATTGCCCATTTACAAGGGTTGACTGCTGCTGAGTTGTATGAGATAGATAAGGACTGCTGGAATTGCTAGACTGTACATGTGCATGATGTTCATTTGATTCATCCTGGGAAATATGAGTCCAAGTCATATTGATGTCACTATTTTTTCTAGTTTCTATTTGGAGGGCAGATCTTGAATGAAACATAGGCCACCTTTTCAAATTCAAGCTCTCATTAAATTTTTTCTTTTTAGCACATCCACCAACAGAGCAAATCTTGCCCTCCTCTGGCAGTTTTCTCTTAGTCAGGAAATTGTCTGGGGGGGAAAAGTCTAGGATGTCTGGGTGATCTTTTTGGATATCTATGCCAATATATTTAATCCGATTAGATTGCAACAACTTGAAAAAGGATGGCTTTAATTCATGCAAAACAACTCCTTGAGAGTGAGAATTATCCACCAGTTGCACAATTTGTCTAAATATATGCAACCGCTCAGCTTTATTAGCTTTATGGCACTCAGATTTGAGCCAATCTCTCAAACTCACTCCATCATCATTACAATCAACACTCCTTGGCCCATTCACACCATGGGAAGAAGTCATATCAGTTTTGGTGCCGAATCTCTGTGAAGCATGAGATGCCACCATAGGGCCATCAACAGCTTTGAGATTCGCACTGGGAGCCACTGGAGGGCGTCCAGAAGATTTTACATTATTCTGACCTCCAGGCGCAGTTCTATAACCATCATGAGGCTGACCTCTACATATGATCCCTTTACCCTTTAAAGTAGTTTTAACAAAAAATTCAGAAAATCCAGATTTAGATAGAATCTTTGTCTTAATACCTCCATGAGAAGACATATTGCCTGAAACCCCATTACTTCCACTTATTAACTGTTCCACTGCCACACTAGGTTCATCATTCAATGGTTTTTGATCCAAACACTCAGGCAAAGATGTGTTCCCTGCATTCTGAAAGATGCCAGGTATAACCTGACTGTTGTCCCTGTTGCCATATGAAGTCCCACTTCCCGATCCACCCACCAACCGATAATCATGTTGCCATTGGTTCTGCCTCATCTGTATTGTTTCTCTGCTATTGGATGCACCAACCATAGGTAAGTTAGAGCTATTAAAATTTCTCACAGTTAACTCTTCAACCATGCCACCTGCATCATCCAAATCATGTTGGCTAGCACATGCGTGTTTCAATAAATCCTCAGGTGAATTCTTACCCTCAAAAATATCTCCAAATATATTGAATGAGCTCTCAAGTGAACTCATCTCAGCAGGTCTGACCATTTCTTGTGAGCCCAACATGTTGCGGCTATCAAGTTTTCCTACATATTCGCCCTCTTTGCTCTGGATGTGAGCATCCTCAGCTGCATCACTGGGAAGCACTCCATCACCTAGTCCTTGGTCCATAACATTAACAGAAACTTCCTCCAATGACAGATTCTTCTATCAATGCATAGTTTATTTCTTCAGTTAGAAACCACAAGAACTATGTTAGTATGGGTGTTACAATCCCTATAACAAGGCAAAAACTAAAAGCAACCCCATTTCATATCATTCAAAAAAGATGAAATGAACAAAGAAAAGAAAACAAATTTCCCTTATCTTCAAAAAGGCCGAGCATTGTAAATGGCCA